TCCCCTCGGTCTCTCCATAAAACATTTTAACTCCCAATTAACCCCTACAAACTTTTAATTTTATGTAATGTCGCCGTCCTAGATTTCAAATATATACAAACGTGGCAACAATATTTCATCCTTAAGGGTTGATTTTTAAAAATTGTCAAAACATATATTTGCTTAATTTCAACAATGAGTATTAAGAGTAACCTTCGAGTAAATACGACTACAAATAAAATTTGCCCCATGGAAACGTTGCAGCCTCTTTTCATTTGTATGTCAATTATATCAAAGAGCATAAATACCAAATTTCAAGTAAATTTAAACTCCCTTTTACCCCCCCTCTTTGGAGATTGAATTTTTTAAAATTCCGAGTTAGGTGTTTCAGAAATTAAATGAGAGACCATTTAAAACCAAGTTTCAAGTAAATCGAACCAAAAACAAAAATGTTTCTCGCAATCTTTGAAAACTCCTTTCAGCTTTCTTCCTTTAAAATGTTGAAAAAATGTATGTATACCATTAATTTTATATGAAAGAGCATTAAAGCCAAGTTTCAAGTAAATCTGACTATAAATAAAATGTCTAGCATATAAACGTTACAACCCCTTTTCATCCCCTTATTTTTTAAAATGCTGAAATAGGTGTTTGTTTTTTATGCCATTGAGCATAAATATTAAATTTCACGTAAATCTGGCCTAAAACAAAAATGTCAAAATTTATAATATGAAGGTTTTTCCATATGAAAATACTATCCAAATTTCCGGATTTTCCCGTGTATTTTCCATAAATTTTCTTTCACACAAACCCTGCCCTGTCAATTACAAATATCTTAAAAGAAAATAAAAATAGAACGACATTGGGCATAAAGTGGGTGCACTGCCCCCCTATCATACTTATTGCCACCCCCCAGGAAAAGTGTCTCGCTACGCTCATGAGAATAATAATCTGTACATTCTGTATTGTCGATTTTCTATCTATCGATATTATGTAATGAAAAGATTTTGAGGGTAGATTAAACCTGATAACCTGATTCGCTGTTTGAATCAGTCTGATCACATCTGTAGCACTGCATTTAGAGAAACAGCCAGCGATGTGATCGCTGATTCTCATGTTCCCGTTACGCTTTGTCAAATAATCTTTTTAATTGGTGCCGTTTTGACGTGAAATGCGATCATTGTAATTCCAGTGCAAGATCATTACACGGAACATCCGTCAAAAGGTTCGTAAATCAACGTCTTATCTTTGAACGTAGGATTCTACTCTATTTAAAAGTCACATCCTGTTTGAAGTTTACGTTTCTGATGAATTAAATATTTTGCGTAGAACTGGTGTTGTCCTTATTGTAAACTCATTGTTAGTCTTCATCCAGCATCAGAGATGATCTACAACAACTCCAACCGAAGACGACCTATAGATTCGAATCATGACAGTACTAGTTCACCAACTGACCGCGAAAGCCTTTATCAATTTATTTTGAGTAGTTAGAGATTGAAGTTCAAGATACTTTAAGAAATTTGGGCCCCTGATGATTATTTGATATATACTTACAATTAGACATATTATTTGAGAAATTTGAAAGAGTAAGACACCCCAAAAGTATGTACTAAATATTTTAAAAATCGATTCTTACATTTTTATGTAAAGTTAAAAAGAGACTTTTTTTTGATATTTTGACCGTTTAGATGACCGCGGTCCTACCAATATTTATTAACCAAACTTTTAGGGTATATTTATATTAGTATAAAGTCAGTTTTGGTCAAAGGAATTTACCCACCTACACCTAAGATGGCCGCTAAAGGGCCTCAAACTTTTGTATTTTGTTACGTTTCACATACGTCGTAAGGTCGTCAGTCCTAAGACTGGTTAGACACGTACCTCCACTCTTTCATATCCTGAGCTAAACTTCGTATTTCCCTAAAACTAGAACAGCCCACATCCTTAACTATTTGCGAACAGTAATCTAATCTAGGTCTACCTCTACCCCTCCTAACTCCTGTTTCTGCCTCTAATATGTCTCTGACTAGACCT